GCTCTCTCTCTCTCTCTCATTCTCTCTGTCTCAAATAAATAAATAAAATCTGTTAAAAAAAAAAAAAAAAAAGATATTTCCTGCTAAAACTCAGCCAGAAAGAATTAAGGTGAAACAGGATTACAAATTAATAAAGTCCCCGACCTTGGCCCAAATTACTCAGCTACAGAGGGAAAGCATGGCATCTTGTTTAAGTATGGCAATGTGTCTAAAGGACTCATAAATGGCACAAGGTGGGTACATACAGATTTTCCACCCAGTGGAGACAAAAAAAGCTAGACACACACTTCTTAAAAACAAGTCCCCAAAGTGGCCAGGGTTGGTCCTTTCCAGTCTGGTCCTGAATGGCATGTGTTCGGTGGACTCCATCCCTAGGCTCCCAAGACTGGGGCTTCTGGGATTGTCACATAAAGACTCCCTGCGTCCTACCCAGAGGCAGAGCTCGGCAGCAGTAAGGGCATGAGTGAGTCCCGGGTTCCAATCCTGCTGCCATGTGTACACTGTGTGACCCAGGCGAGTGGGGACTCACGAAGCCTGCAGGGCCTGAGTGTGAGGCAGAAACAAGGACTATGGGATGCGCAGAGCAGCAGGGCCAGTGTCCATGGTAACTAACGCGGGCATTGTTTCTACAGGGCCCCTCCCAAGATCCCTCTCACAGGACAAAAGGAATCCTGTACTTTCAGCAGCACCACCCGAGAAGAATGGCCACATTATCTAGAATCAGTCAGCTCATCTTCTCCGTAGGGAGCCCACCCCCGGCAGAAAGCGGTCATTCTATCACCCGGTAACGACGGGAGAGCTGGGCAGACAAGAGTCTGGGTGCTGTTCTTGGTAACTCATGGAGGGGAGGTGGAAGGACTTACTGCCAGCCTCCATGAAAGCTTCCGGAAGGTACGTGAAGCCACTTTCTTGTTCCAGAGGGTTCCCACAGCTGGCATGCTCACCAGGGCGCTGCAGGTTGATGACTGTTTTTATGCCATGGCTGACAGGAGAAAATAAAAAAGTTATTTTGAGGGCAAGTGTTTAAAAAAAATCAAGCATTTTTGGCATTAATAAACATTATTAATCACTCTCAAAAACCTCAATTTCCTAGTCGAAATAAGCTGTCCACTGCCTATCGTTTGACTATTTGACGTCAAAAGCAATGGACAAGAACATGCGAATTGGCTTAGCAAGTGTGTCAACGACACGGCATTTACCTTTGGAACTGCTCGATGAGGCGGTACTTCTCAAGGAGCTCAGTGGACGGGCGAGCCATGGCTAGGATATTCTCAGTGACCCTAGGATGGGAGGAGGGGCTGGTGAGATGCACAAAACTTGGAACGTTCCAGCTCTAAGAACTAAGAGAACGAGATATCAAGTCCCTACTTTTCTATGATTTTAACAAATCTAGAACAATTTTCTTATACAAATTCTGGCTTCAATTTTGCATCACAATGAGGGCTCTAAGAAACCCTGAATCCCTGGAAAAAATTCCAGGATGTAAAGTATTTGTGGACTCCGGCAGTGTGGTTTCAAGTACTCTCGTGAGATTCTAGTGGATGTTGTGGAGGAACCTCGTTGAGCAGCAAAGGTAATTCTGCCCCTCAGTTACCTATTATGTTAAGTAGGGATAACGCCTGCCTCACAGGGTTGGCACGAGAATTCAACACAATGTGGGTATAAAGTCTTTAGCACAAATCCTGGCACGTGATTAGGAATAAATGCTGAGTTATTGTAATTCAGCAAAACATATGGGCTTTGGAGTCATCTGGGCCTGGTTTCAAATGCTGGCTTTTCTACTTCTAGCTGGGTACTAGATTAGTCTCTCTGGACCTCAATTCCTTCATCAACAGAATGACATTAACCACGCCTACTTTCAGGAGCTTTATGAAGATGACATAATAATTTAACAGTGTATAGCACAGTGCTGGCCTGAGGACAAATGGACAGAGGCCCCCCAACAGACAGCTGCCCCTCCTCAGGGGTCTGGTGAAAGGTACGTCAGGCAGTCTATCGGGAGCTATGGGTCACATGAGCCTGATGAGTAACAGAGACATCAGCTGAGCAGAGCACAATCCAGAAAGATACCATGCCTCCCTGCTGGGGCAAGCCCTGAAAATTGATGGGGGCCTCCCCCACCAAATTCAGTAGTACTTAGTATAAGACGAGGAGAGAAGTACCATGAAAGCATGACAGGTGAAAAAGACTCAGATGTTTAGTCAACCATAAACCAAAAATATTAACGTGATCTCAAGCTGCATGATTGGATATTTATGGTCCGAGCACACCTCAGGCCTAGTGCTTGCTTTCACACAACATTCTTTAGACTAGAATATGATCTGTGGGGAATGGCAATGACAATGGACCCCAACTCTATCACTACACACGTGCCAGCAAATATAAAAAAGCCCAGGCTGCAAGTTAGGTAAGCCGGTTGACGAAAGTCTAATTTGGAAATGGATTCTTGCTGCAGGAAATGATTCACCACTAGAGAGTTCTTTAAACCGTGAATTCCTCTTAGTGGGCTTCAAAGGTGATTTGGCGGGGCATCTGGGTGGCTCAGTAGGTTAAGCGTCTGCCTTCGGTTCAGGTCATGATCTCTGGGTGCTGGGATCGAGCCCTACATTAAGCCCCACATCAGGCTCCCTGCTCAGCGGGAAGTCTGCTTCTCCTTCTCTCTCTGCTCCCCCCCTTTGTGCTCTCTCTAATAAATAAATAAAAAATCTTTAAAAAACAAACAAACAAAACAAACAAAGGTGATCTGGCTTGATTATCAGAATTCATCAGAGACATCACTACATCAAAAGAGGTACACTTAACAGTTTACCGTTAATAACAAGCAGCAGAAGGATTCACTGCAGAATGAATCACATCTGCACACCATAAAGCATGCACCCGTATTCACCCTGCCTGCTGAGCCAACAACGTGCACCGCTCTCTACTGAGGCACGCGGGCGGTGTATTTGCGTGGAAGTGTGCCCTTTCATCCAGAAGATGGGAACAAAAAGAAATGAGGCTAACACGTACCTGTGTGAAACTGACAAACCATGTATGTACCTCCTGCCTTCTCAAATTTATAGCTGAGCACATTATTTCTAGCAACTTCCAATACTTAAGAGCTATCTCGTTACCACTTTTTTAAGATTTACGTACATCATTTCACTTAATTAAAAAACCCCTGTGGGCTGGTTTTATTATTTCCATTTTACAGAAGAAGTTCGGAACACCCACGTGAGGCAGCCAAGATCACGCGGCTCATCAAGCCGCAAGGCCAGGGCGGGGGCGGGGCCCTCCGCCTTCCCACCCCTGTGCCCCCTCCTGCACGGCCACTGGCCCCGCAGACTCACTCACCACGATGAGTACACCCCGTTGATGGCTTGCCCCTGCTCGCCCCAGCGCGCTGGGCTTTCGTACTTGCAGGCTCTGCCACCACACGCCAGGGAGCAGGCCATGTGTCCGGGAATCACATGCCGTAAGCGCTCTCCGACTTTCGTGTACTTTGGTGTTGGACGTCCTGAATTTCCTAGAACATACAAGGAAGAGAGGATTCAAAATTCCACTCTCCAAATGCAACAGTAACATGAGAAACAGCTTCCATGTCACCTCAGGATTGTAGATGACGAGCCGGGGCTACATTCCCTTCATTTTGCCAGAAATAAAACGGTTTCCTTTTCATCTGAGTGCATGATCTCTTAATATAGAAAAGGCTTTCACACACAATAATCTCCACATGTCATATTGGTAATGAAGAGGAAGAAACCATAAAAGCAGATCTTTTACAAGAGAATGAATTTTTTCAAAAATTACATTTTTAATGCAAAAGCACAAAACATTCAATCACTTTATCTCCTATTACATGTCCACTGAAGCTCTTAGCATAACAGACAGTGAAAGTACAATGTAGAATTAATTGTCAACAGTCTGAATTTAAACTCAAAGCTGTGGCGATCTTTAAGAAGGAAAAGAGCTTTACTTTTTCTCTGGAGGCTAGTTGGGTTTCTCTCGGCACAGCTGACGGAGGCCGCTGCCACCATCACCTGGAGAGAGGACGAGGAGAGCGTCTGGGCGGCCGAGCCACACCGGCCATGCTGCAGGACAGGGTCCGAGGACGAGTGCCGGCGGCCCTGGAAGAAGGAGCTGAGGAAGGGCAGGGCCGAGCACCGCCGGGGCAGGTCCTGCATGGCTGGGCTCCCAGCGGGAAAGAGCTGCGGGCGAGGGGATGGCAGCGCCAGCCTGCTCCGTGGTGAAGTTATGCTGAGCCGCCAGCATCACTCTGCGGGATCTGACAGCCATTCGGGATAGGCTGACTTGTTTCCATAGTGACGAACAAAGAAACTACTGACTCCCACTCAGAGCTGTACAGGCAAAATCCCACATGAATGGACTGCATTTTGGACAGATTGTTCAAATAGAGGAAAGAACATGTATTTTAAATAGATTACACTAAATTGCAACTACTCTATTTTGTTTCTCATACACAGTGGAAAGATCTGCCAGCTCAAAGAATTACATCTAACACACTGTAATGAATTTAGAAAAATGTGTTTATCACACAGACCCTGCCGTTTATACACATGTTGAAAGGTTTAAATTCTGTTATTCCTCTCGTAACTACTCTCTGAACAGTCTGAAAAAACTTCTCTTTCTACTCCTCCTTGGAACAGGGTGGACAAGAAGTTAACTCTAATGAAGTAAAATGTGTAGCATACCTCGTAACATCATTAAAACACCACCCAGTTCTTCAAAACCAAAAAGTCCCCTGTAATTTTCCTGACAGAACTATTTAAAAAAAAATACTTGCACAGAACACATAAAGACGTCTGTAGGGTTGATTTAATCAGAAGACACGGACTACCATACTTTTACTTTCAGAATGTGAAAACACAGATCCTGCCCATGCCTTGATCAGGTAGTTAAGTGGCCATGCCTCTCAAACACTCAAAGATGCAATTCTGTGCCTTTTGTCACTGACTGTCGGGGGGGAACGAAGCTTTAGGAATGTCTTAGTGGAGGCATGTGGAAAAAATTCACTAAGTATCACATTCTTCTCAGGAACTGGATGAGGAGGTGGCTGCAGCTTGAGGATAAAGGACACAAAGAACACAGAAAATCTAACATTGATGTCCGCCTCCTCCCTCCTGAATGTCAGGCTCGCCCCACCCTGTCACTCTGTGTCTCCAGGTCTCTCTCTGTCTCTCCAAATGGTGTTTCAGCCACGTGCAGACAGAAACAACCTCCTGCCACAGATACGGCTCTTTTTGTTGGTTCTATTTTATTTTAATCATCAGTAATGCTGTAAGCACTTGCCTTTTAAAATGCAACCCCAACTGAACAGATTTTGTCAAATAACACAGAGACAGAGAAGCTCAATTTGGTGCCCAAAGTCCTACCTGAGTGCCGTGCCATGTCCTTGTTCACATACAGTGATGGAAAATAATTTTTTTTTAAGGTAACCAATCCAAAAAGCAAAGCTCCCACCGAGCTTTACAGGAGAGAAAGGAGTACAAGATGGCGCACCAAGGCTGAGCAGAGGCCTGGCAGCCGACGGCCCTGAGGACTCGAACTCAGGGGTCCACATCTGCTATGTGCAGCAGGGGTTCTGAGCAAAATGCCCAATCGTGGCCAAATCCATCTTTGAAAGCCAGTTTTTATTTATGCCAAGTGGCTTTCCAACAGGGAAGCGTGCCTTCAGTCCCACCCCTAGGACTACACTGGCCTCTCTTCCTGCCTCTGTCTGCAGACGCGTGGACCTTCTGTGAACACATCTTCCTGTTTTTCTAAGCAGATGGCCACACCTTCCCATTTGCTCCGTGTCTCACGAGGGTCCTCACGCACAAGCGGGTGCACCATAACTTATGTCCTCATTCCCTCGCTGTTGGACATTTAGGCCACAACCCATGATCTTATTTAAAAATAAGGCATTAAACATCTCAGGACCCAATCCTTTTTATATCCACATTTCTCCTTCAGCAAACTCCTAGGGATGAGATGGCTGGTGAGCAGAATTTTCAAAGCTCGTATTTTCATATAGGTGAGTCTTCACATGTTTCAACAACTACGTATGAAGACGCTGAAAGAGGTAATATTTTTTAAAACTCAACACAGGTTTTTTCTGAGGTCAGAGAGAAATACAGCATTAAAATAAAGATTGAGAAAAGCCATCTCCGAGAAGCTTTGTTTCAACCTCCCTGACCTCAGAAATCTCACATCTCCTTAATTTGTGGCCTTCGAAAACCATGTTTTTGTTCACAGAATGTTGCCGGAAAATAATCGTGAAAAAACTTTAAAGAGATTATTTTCAAATTCTTGGAATAAAAGATATTATACTTGTACCAAACTGGTCTCTCTTTCTGTATTCGTAAGAAAGCGTATTTGTAGAACAACCTAAAAATCCATTAAAAAATTTAAGTTGGGATGAGTTACAGATTGCTAATGATGAGTTGTTCAGATTCTTACAAGTAACATTTTTTTTTAAAGATTTTATTTATTTATTTGACAGAGAGAGACACAGCGAGAGAGGGAACACAAGCAGGGGGAGTGGGAGAGGGAGAAGCAGGCCTCCCGCAGAGCAAAGAGCACGATGTGGGGCTCGATCCCAGGACCCTGGGATCATGACCTGAGCCGAAGGCAGATGCTTAACGACCGAGCCACCCAGGCGCTCCTAAGTAACATTTCAATATATAAATTACCAGCAGGAAAAAAATAGAGGCCTTCTTTTTAGATAAACAGGAGCCACAATACTATTTTAATTCCTATTTCATGTGATATTGTGATACATAAAATGGAGTGTTTCAGAGAGTAATTTTGTGAAGGGCCATGCTTTCGCAGACACTTAAAAGGTAGAGTGTTTTTTCAGGAGTCCCCAGAAAGAACATCATTATCATAAGCTCCTTGTCCCTCCACAGTTATAATTTATTTGCAGGTCACAAGAATCCACACTACTGCTGTTTTCCCACTTGCCTGCTAGTAACTCATCTGTTTTTCACTGCTGTGACAACATATTCTTCTAAATACATAAGAAGACAAATGTCAGTTTTCTATATCCCATGAACATAAACTCATGGGTGCGCTACCTTGCTACTGTTCTTACCCTTCTCACTTCCGAATACACCGTCTCTAAAAAGAAACCAGGCTCCAAGAAAAAGCAGGAAGATAATACAGAGGATAATCCCCGTGACCAATCCTATACCCCCCAAGCTGCTGTCATCACCCGCACACAAAGGGCCCTTTGAAGCGCAAAGAACCAGGGCGCTGTGCTCCAGCCGTAACACCTTCGTGGCCACTGGCCTGATTGCAGGTGGGCGATCGGACCTTCCCCAACTCAAAATAATGTTTAACCAAGGGATTCCCTGGTCACTGCAAGGGTGAGACTGTCTACCCCTGTGGTAAGCGCAGCAAAGAAACCCGCTGAGAGGCAGCCGACCGCACGGTCCTTTTAATTCCCACACGGTGGTTAAGGCAGACGTAGAGCCCCAAGCACTGGTCATTTCCACTTAGACTCAAGATTTCAGAAAGGGCTGAGGACTTCCTATTTGAACAAACTCACATGACAATGGGCCTGAGTGCGCAGTGGGAGCTGGAGGTCCACCTGGCCTCAGTCCTAAGTCACCAGAGGAATCACTTCCAGGAACAGCTTCTGCTTGCCACTGTTTGGGTCAGGAGTTCACTTCGTGCAAGGCCACCAACCACTCAGCTGCTGGACGGCTCAACGCGTTAGTCAGAAGCCCCTGCTCCGTAAACACTGGCTCTACTTCTTTCCTCCGAAAATTAAAACAAAGCATCTCTTTGACTTTGCAAGATCTTCAAATAGCTGAAGACAGAATTTCTCCAAAACTTCCCCTCCTTGGGCTATAGCTTCTTAATTGTCCAAGTATTCCTGCATACATCATTATCTCCACACCCCTCACCACAGTCCCCTGCTTCGGAGGGTCCTTCGTCCCCCTTCCCAGAAAAACCTCTGAAGAGTTGACAACAGTGGCCATTTGCACGTCACCTGTCCCAGTGCCAACCCCTGTCGCTCTGGTCTCTGCCTCCATCACCCACCAACAACTGTTCTAAGGTATCCGATGGCTTCTGGATAGTTTTCGTCTTGGTGGACTGCTCAGCAGCAGGCAACACGGTTGAACAATTTGGTTTAATTTTAAAAATTTTTTGGAGAAGACTATCTTTTACTTTGAAGCAATCTCAAACTTACAGAAAAATATAATAAAGTATTTTTTCTTGAACTACCTGAGAATAAGCTGCAGACATGCTGTCCTATTACTTCAAATAATTTAGCGTATATTTCCCATAAACAAAGATGTCCTCTAGATTCCCCCAAATCTGCAGATTACAACTGATACATGACTAGTTGCTTCTGTCCCTCAGACCTCGCTCAAGCTTCCCTGATGATCTCAGTGCTCCTAACGGCAAATCACACCATGTCAGAACCACGTTGTAGCGGCAGCCCGTGTCTCACTCATGCACTCCACAGCAAGCTCCTCCATCCTTCCTTGACTTCTGAAGAGTGTAGGCCCGTTATTTTGCAGAATGTATCTGCTTCCCCACGAAGAGCCCTCATGGCTGAAGAACGGCACTTAGGAAGGAAGTCTGGGTGCTGGGTGCAGCCGCCAGCAGGCCCTCTCAGCAGACAGTGAAGACACGTGTGCCGGAGACACGCACACGCACACTCCACACGTTCGGGTCCACGTTTATCTCCACATGCACGCATACGTATACAAACTGAAAACCAAGAGTTCACCCTATACAGCAAGTCCAATCCAACACACACGGTCCCTCCACTTCTGCTACCGTCATCTTTAACCGGGCCGCTCTGTGGGACCGATCTCCCCCTCACTGCTATTGCCCCCTCCTTGATGTGGATCCACACCCCCACCGTGGGCTCTAACACCCCAGCCAGTCTGATGCCCTGCCCGTGTTCGGGTACTCCACGTGGGGCCGCCAGCCATGCAGGAACCCTCTTCACCTCACCCGAGGCTCTGGCCCCGCCGAGTGCTCTCACAGCAGAGTGTGGCCAGCCTCGCACACCTGTCACCCCGCACACCGTCATGACGGCTGCCGCCCCCCACCCTGCCTGGGCTCCAGCACCACAGCCTCGCCCACCCTCTGGTGTGCACACCTACTCTTCGTGGCCCTGCCAGGGGCTTGGGACTGACTTGCTCGGGAAGGGAAGGGAAAAGAAGAGGAAGAGAGAGCGCTCTCCTTTTTCCTTTTGTTAACTGTGGTAAAATACCTATGACACAAAATAGGCCATTTTAGCCATTTTTAAACGTACAGTACTACACTAGCATTAAGTACGTCCCCACTGTCCGTCTCCAGAACCTCTTCATCTTCCTAAACCCAAACTCTGTCCCCATTAAACACCAGCTCCCCATCTCCCCCGACCCAGTGCCTGGCGCCCACCCCTCTACTTTCTGACCTTCTGGGTCCCTCACAGATGTGGACTCACGGACTGTTTGTCCTGTGTCTGGCTGATCTCACTCAGCATCGTGTCCTCACGGTCCACCCACGCTGTAGCAGGTGTCAGGCTTTCTCGGGCTGAGTCAGCTCCCACTGCATGTACGTGCCACCTCTGTGGGTTGGTTCCCACTTTTGGCTATCGTGAACACGGTGGCACTGGCTTGATCCCCGCTTTCTGTCCCATGGAACCGCTGGACCACGGAGTCATTCTTTTTTTGTATTTTTATTTTATTGTTTTAAGATTTCATTTATTTGTCAGCGAGGGTGGAGGAGAGAGCGAGCGCACAAGCAGGGGGAGCGGCAGGCAGAGGGAGAAGCAGGCTCCCCACCGAGCAGGGAGCCCGATGCGGGACTCGATCCCAGGACCCCGAGATCATGACCTGAGCCGAAACCAAGAGTCAGACCCTTAACTGACTGCGCCCCCCAGGCATCCCCAGAGTAATTCTTTTTTAATTTTTTTGAGAAACTGCCATACTGTTTTCTACAGTGGCTGCACCATAATTTACACCAGCAGCAACGTACTTGAGCTCCAGTTTCTCCATCTACTCGCCGACACTTGTTATTTCTGGTTTGTTTGAGAACAGCCGTCCGAACGGATATGCCCTGGCATCTCATTGTGGTTTTGGTCTGCATGTCTATAATGGTTAGAATGAGCTTCTCGCGTGCATATTGGACATCTGTGTGTCCTTTCAGACAAACGTCTACTCGAGTCACTTTCTGGATCAGGTTGTTTGCATTTGCTCACTGAGTTTTAGGATTCTCTTCATACTCTGGAGCCTACTTCCTAATTAGATGGATATGTGATTTGCAAACAGTCTCTCCCATTCTGCAGACTGACTTTTCTTTCTGCTGATGGCATCTTTTGATGCAGAAAAGTTTTACATTTTGATGAAGTCTGAATTACTGACTTCTTCCTTTTGTTGCTTGTGCTTTCGCTGTCACAGTACTTGTCAGGGGCCAGACTCACGGGTCTGGCTACCCAAGGCAACAGGAGGGGTCCTTGTAGTGACGGCGCTGTCCTGTATCTTTTTTTTTTTTTTTTTTTTTAGAGAGAGAGAGGGGAAGAGTGCATGAGTGAGCAGGGGCAGAGGGAGAAAGAATTTAAGCAGGCTCAACACCCAGCACAGAGCCTGACGCGGGGCTCAATCCCACAATCTTGAGATCATGACCTGAGCCGAAACCAAGAGTCAGACCCTTAACTGATTGCGCCCCCAGGTGCCCCCAGTGCTCTCATCTTCACTGTAACAATGTCGACATCCAGGCTATGATACTGCACTACAGATCTGTGACATGTTACTACTGGTGGAATCTGAGTGAAGGGTCTTCCTGTATTATGACTGACGACTGCATGTGACGGCACAATTATCTCAATCTTTTAATTAAAAGTATATACATAATCAAAATAAAAACAGCCCTGAGGCAGGCCTAAGTGAGGGCCATGTAGCAGAGGTCAGGCCCAACCCAGGAAGGCAACTACAGGTGACCCTTGCACGATGTGGGTGTGAACTGCATGTGTCCACCTCTACGCAGATGTCTTTGGGTAAATAGAGGACAGCATCAATGTATTGTCTCTTCCCTATGATTTCCTTAACATTTTTTATCTACTTTATTATAAAAACACAGTATGTGGCACTCAAAATCTGTGTCAGTCAATGGTTGTCAGCAAGGTTCCCAGTCAGCAGGCAGCTGTTAGAGTTAAGTTCTTGGAGCGTCAGAAGTTATCTGTGAATTTCCATCTGTGCCGTGGTCAGTGACCCCACCCCCGTGTGCTCGAGGGTCAGTGCAGCAGAGTCTGCGGCCCTCGGCCTGGCAGGGTACAGACTCCGTGTGGGCGAGCTCAGGTGAGCGATGGCAGGGCTGGGAGACTGGTCATGAAAAGGAGGCCTGAGGAAATAAGGAAACTGGGGATAATGAGAGCAAGGTTTCTCATTCTCGAAGAAGGGACTTATAAACATAATAATGGGAAAAGCTAGAATGATGGTAGTGAGGGATGACAATGGGAAGTACTGATATGGACTCAGAGTTTTCACCATATAGAAACAAATACACATGTAAAAGCAGGTAGAGATCTGTGCACACTTATTAACATACACTTCCTAGCTCTGTCTCCCGGGGAGCGTGGCAATTGCGACGTCCTCGCAGTAACGAGCACATTTGGGTTTCTGGATACCATTCCCCACTGAGAGGACCAGAGCTCCTTGCAGAACTGGGTGACTTCAGGGCTGGGACGGGGAAAGGGCAGGGGCGATGGAAGACCATGCTGGGCCAGGAAGCAGGCATGCAGGGACGTCGCTGCCGGGAGGGGCTCTTGCTGGCCACGTGTGGGACGGCTGAGCATGAAAACAAATGACAGTTACTGATACATCCCCTGACAGAACACGAATCCACCCTGCAATGGAGATAACCGACACACAAATGGGAGGAGAGCGTGCCGGCTGAGAAACACAGAAGTGATGACGGATTAGGAACCCTCCACTTCATTATCCACCATCACGATGGTTAATCCAGGCGGAGCCTCAGAGAGCTGAGCAAGAAGAGCTGGCCGGGGTGGGCACACTCTCCAACACCTCCCCACAAAATAGGAGCTGTGAGGGAGAAAGCACGACTTAGAATGCACAGATCTCGGCAGACGCCACTGTCCTGACGTGATCAAACTTAACGCCTCCAGGGACCTTCTGGGTCTCCTGATGGGATGCAGTGAGGAAAGCATAACATCACTTCTGATGTGTTCCTGCCAGAAATGCGTGACTGTAACGTTACTACGATGTAACAGCAGACAAACCCCAAGTGAGCAAGGTGCTGCGACATGACTGGCCTGGAATTTTCATAAAGGTCAAGAGAGAACTAGCAGTGCCCAGTCACTGAAAAAAACATGACAAGTGTCCTCTTGCTATTAAAGGATATCACTGACAACCATTGACTGACACAGATTTTGAGTGCCACATACTGTGTGACAAAACGTGGATGAGGGTCTCTGGGTGAACAGTATATGGGAATTTTTTTTTAGTGCTTTTCTGTGAGTTTGAAATTATTTCAAAACAAAAGAACTAACATCACAAGAGAGACAACCAGACATCTGATAGAAGAATACAGCACTATCCATCAAATACGGCTGTAAGTAAAAAAAAAAACTGATTAGGCTCTATGACCCTCTCCCAGTTCAGTTTATAGGAAACAACATGTGAATATAATCAGCAAAATACAGATTGTGGCAAACTCTATACGGCAAAAAAGCCTGGTTTCTTTAACAAATACATTGGAGGAAGAAGAGGGAGAAATCCACATGCAAAAGAGATCTAGATACATACCAACCAATTTTAAAATATTGACTTCTGTTGGGGCCTGATGCAAACAAAAATATATACATCTATGAGACAGAAATTTGAGCAATGTTTAGATATTGATGACACTGAGCAATTGTTCAATTTTTTTAGTTATGGTAATGGTGATGTGGTTAAGGAATGAAATGAAGTAATATGGAAGTAGGGGAAAGGGGGGAGGAAGTGAGTGAGCTGAAATTGTTAAAGCTGGGAGATGGCACCTGACGGGGAAGGGGGCCTCTGTGGCGGGGTGGCACCTCCAAAGAGAACAGTATCTCCGCATACAGTATCCTATATACTTTTATGAATGCTTGAAATTCCGCCTCCCCTCAATTTTTTTTCAAAAAGTAGAACCAAGATTTAAATCTAGGTTTGTCTCATTCCAAAGATAGTTGTTGAGTTTTCTACTTTCCTTCACAAATAACTTAAAAACTTTATTTATGTACCCCCTAATTTTCCCATGATTCATTAGCCACTAATAAAAAAATACTTCCCATTCCAATGTTAACCCAATAAAGTATAACTGACTACCTTTATAGACGAGCCTCACTCTAAAAAAGTTAGATGTAAAGTTTCTTATTTTTCCTAATTAAATACTAGCTACATTTATACAATGGGGAAAATTTCAACGACAAAGATGGTTTTAGGAAAGGTAAAACAGGGGTGCCTCGGTGGCTCAGTCGTTGAGCGTCTGCCTTCGGCTCAGGTCATGGTCCCAGGGTCCTGGGATCGAGCCCCGCATCGGGCTCCCTGCTCGGCGGGGAGCCTGCTTCTCCCTCTCCCGCTCCCCCTGCTTGTGTTCTCTCTCTCGCTGTGTATCTCTCTCTGTCAAATAAATAAATAAAATCTTTAAAAAAACCACAAAAGGTAAAACAGCTCAGCGAGAGATCACACACAGCCAGTACAGCGCTCCCTGGGCAGCTGGAAACGTGTCAGGCTTTCTGGGGGTCACCGCAGTCTGGGGACGTGACTGGATGCTGGGGGGGTCACCGCAGTCTGGGGACATGACTGGACGCTGGGGGGGTGCAGGGATGCTTTCTTCCGCACCTGGCGCTCCCCTGTACACTCAAGACTTGCCCACCTCAGAAGCCCAGAGAACTGCTGGTGGGAAACCCCAGCTACGAGGTGACATTTCGACAGAAGAAGGCAGAGGGGCAAAGGTCTGTCTGACCCTTACATCGCTAGCTGGAGTCCCTTAGCAAAACACACATCACTCTACAACGTAAGCGGCAAGTAGGCACCGTTCCTGCATCGGTTTTAGACAGGCTTCCTTCTCAAACCAGGGCAGCCAACACACCGTAAGTCTGCCACACAGACGCTGTCCACAAACGGTGGCCAGCAAGCGTCCCGGTGCCCCCAGAGTCAGGCACAGCACAGACAGAAGGAGGAGGATCTGCGAGGACCTGGAATTCGGGCGAGGTCTCAGGAGGGAGACGCTCCTTCTCCCGGCGAGAGACAGCACCCCCTGGTGACGCGGCTGGATTCCTACAAGAGCACAACGCACCCAGAGCCAGTTACTCCCTTCAGGCCCTTACATCATGTCATCCCACTTCGGGGGACAGTCCTTCAAAGTTCCCTGCACAGGAACACGAAAGTGAACAGGGCAAACCTAAAAGAGCCAGTGGGAAAATCACGCAAAGGGCACTGCCAAGAAAAGTGACTCAACATCCGGCTCTCCGCTGGCGGCAGCAGCAGGGCCTGTGGTGCCAATGTGGCAGGAAGTCGGGGTGTGCCCAGCTCAGCACCCGTGGCAGGCAAAGGAGTGAGGGCAAGTACGGCAGCAAGAGCCCCAGGCAGCACCCCTCCTGCTGGGGCTGCCGTGTGAAAGCTCGAGACCACGGGACGGGACAGAGGAGAGAAACAGACTGGGAGGCACAGGCGTCCCGTGCTTCTGGACACGCGTCGAAGTGTCACTCCCGAGGAAGGAGACAGGAAAGAAAGGAAAGTGTGACTCACAGGAGGCGTTTGATGAGAGGATAATGCAGGAGACAAACATTGTTTTCAACGTTCCTCCTCAGAAGACCTGCTATTCAGGATTATGAAAAGGAATTTTAACAGGTCAAAACAGGGAGGCAGAAATAAACAAAAGCCATAAACAGCAGCTGCACTTGGGATCCTGGTATGAGGCCTCGAGCCTTCTGTCATGTCTACTCACACCATTTTATTAGATGCCGCTTGGCACAAAGAGGCAAGTACATCGAAGCACTCTCACCTTTCATGTCGGCAGCATGTGCACTGTCATTCACCGAAGCAGAATACGGTTCTTCATTTTCAGGCAAGATTCCTGCAGGCATGGTAGTCTGCTGGGGACAAAAAAAGATTAGCTTTTGAGAGTCTGCCTATGTGATGTTCCTTTATGTACACATACAGACACACACAATGGAACATTATTCAGCCATTAGAAAGAATGAAATCTTGTGTGGGAAATAAGAAACAAAGAGCAAAGGAAAAGAGAGAGAGACAAACCAAGAAACGGACTCTTAACTATAGAGAACATGCTGATGGTACCAGAGGGGAGGTGGGTGAGGGATGGGGAAACAGGTGACGGGGAATAAGGAGGGCACTTGTCATGATGAGCACCGGGTACTGTATAGAAGTTGAATCACTGTATTGTCACCTGAAACTAATATAACACTCTGTGTTAACTATACTGGAATTAAAATTTAAAACTTAATAGGGCACCTGGGTGGCTCAGTCGTTAAGCATCTGCCTTCGGCTCAGGTCATGATCCCAGGGTCCTGGGATCGAGCCCCGCATCGGGCTCCCTGCTCGGCGGGAAGCCTGCTTCTCCCTCTCCCACTCCCCCTGCTTGTGTTCCCTCTCTCGCTGTGTCTCTCTCTGTCAAATATGGTATAAAAGGAATAGGGCACCTGGGTGGCTCAGTCGTTAAGCATCTGCCTTCGGCTCAGGTCATGATCCCAGGGTCCTGGGATCGAGTCCTGCATCGGGCTCCCTGCTCGGCGGGAAGCCTGCTTCTCCCTCTCCCACTCCCCCTGCTTGTGTTCCCTCTCTCGCTGTGTCTCTCTACCAAATAAATAAAATATTTTTTTTTAAAATGGCCCATCTTCAAAGAATATCATATGTATCCAAATGTGACAATAAAAGTCATCTTAAAAATAGTAAAAGCTCTCTTTCTTTGTAAATCATCTACTTTGTATGGCTTAAATACTGTATTTTTGTCAAATAACATGAATACATGCTTTTTATGAAAAAGCAATTCTTCTAACCTAGGAAAAACAGTGGAAAAATGGAAAGTTTTCTTTAATGGTCTAATTACCTGAGAGTTAGTATATGCTTAGAGTTAAACTATGAATTTTCAAAGATCTGAGACATCTAATAAACATCAGTTTGGGAAACATTATTTCCAGACCCGTCAAAGTCTGTGAGTTAAAACAGAAAATCGAAAGCACCAGTGCGGGCTCTTCTCCCTTCTCCTTGCAGGTGCTCATCACCTGCTTTGATCTAAACAGTCCAGCAGCCCCCGTGCCGCTTCTTGGCAAAGTAAACAGCCCTCCTCTCGGCCCAAACGCCAGTCCCCACTCCTGTTCCGCTTCAGCTTCCAGCTTCCAGGGGACTCTGCAAGAGTGTTCTCTGTGTCCTAACTCCGCATAAAAACATGGATGTGTAGTCCAACGGTATATAACTGACCAATTACAGACAGCTCAACTAGGCTAAGCTGTATTGCAGAGGCAGAAGTTCTGCGTTTAAACGAACCGGTTTTCGTATAGCTTCAATGTTCTCTTCTGTAAAATGAGGATTATATCTTTCTCAGCTTGTGTGAGGATAAAGAACAGTTGTGTGTGTGTTTCTAGCACAATGTCTGGCATACAGGTATCCAATATATTACTGTTATTTTAATTTGCAAACCAATATCATAGTATTTTATAAGACTGTAAATATTCCCTTCACTACCTAGAAAACAGTCCTGCCAGTAGTTAGTAATGGTTGACTTTCTCAAGAAGATTTATGAAACAGTAACTTCATTCACAACTGAATTCATTTCACGTGCCTGGTTGCAGAGTCAGGAGAAACAGGGTTTGAACAGTAATCCTGTCATTTCACTGTGTAATCATCTTACTTAATTTCATTTCCTGCTGCTAATGACAGATATTTTGCTCGCTCTATCCTACAATTTGCTTTCATCCCAAGATGTTCCTCAAAATGACTCAACATTTAGGATTAATCACAGGCTCACTAATTAGTACACAATACTTAAAACTCAGAACAGCTACAGACGATCACTCATACTGTTCAGAAGAGTTGTCAGGAAGTAAGAGTTTGACATAAAGAATGTTCTCCTTCATAAAAAAGCCATTTCACAGAGAGACAGGCTCTGTGGTGACCTGAGGCGTTCTGAGGTCACTGCTTTCCTTCTATCTTCCAGACAAGAAGCCCGCACGTGCACTTTTGGGGAGAATGGGTGGTGGCGGTGTTAGACGCGCTGGCAGGAGAGACGCGCAGCAGCACCGTTCCTGGGCGTGCAGAGCACTTGTGCTCCGCGGGCATCAGGGTCAAGATGTCTGAGGTGGGACACCTGGGGAGGAGTCAACCCGCGCTCCGACTCCTCCTGCTGCAAGAGGCCCTCTGCCCACATTAAAGACATGGGCCAAGAGCATTACTTCTACACGGCAATTGTGGTAGAATTTGAGGTTGAAAAATTGAAGTTTGTATGGGCAAAAATAGAGATCTCCAAGTATGTGAGTGAACTTATGAAAGCTACATACTTTTATGTTCACAAATAATATATTAATAATACTAAAACACATAAGCTCACTCCATGCCAGGCACTGTTCCAAGTCCCTTACTTGTCTTAACTCATAATCCTCACCACACCACCATTTGCTGAGTACTACTATTATTCTAATTTTAAAAAACAGTGTATTTTTAGAGCAGTTTTAGGTTCATAGCAAAACTAAGTGGAAGGTATAGAGAATTCCTCTGTACCCTTTGTCCCACCCCAACATGCACGGCCTCCCTCACTATCAACAGCCCCACCCGATAGCACATTTGTTACAGCTGATGAGCCCACATGGACACATCATCATCACCCTGAGTCCACAGTTTACCTTAGGCATCACTCTTGGTGCTGGATACTCTGTGGATTTGGATAAATGAATAAGGACATGTATCTGCCATTACAGGACCACACAAGAGAATTTTTGCTGCCCAGTCATCTCCTTCTCTGCCCCACCCCAACAACTCCTGATCTGTTCACTGTCTCCACAGATTTGCCTTTTCCAGAATGTCATATAATTGGAATCACAGTATGTCACCTTTTCAGATTAGCGTCTTTCACTTAGTGATAATGCATTTACGGTTTCTACACATCTTCATGGCCTGGCAGTCCATTTCTTCTTAGTGCTGGATAATATTCCTTTATCTTGATGAATCACAATTTATTCAGTCACATGCTGAAAGACATTTAACTTGCTTCCAAGGCTTGGCAGTTATGAATGAAGCGGTTGTATGCATTCATGTGCAGGTATTTGTGTGCACGTAGGTTTTTCCGCTCCTACAGGAACACCAACGAGCATGACTGCTGGACCATATGGGAAAAACGTGTTTAGTTTCATCTATTATTCCCATTTTACAGATTAGAAAATGAAGGCAAAGAGAAGTCAAATAATTTGCTTACAGTCACACAGCTATTAAACAGTGGCGCTGGGATTTGAACTCACACCTTTCACTCCAGAATATGTGCTCTTCACCACCACACATACAGCCTCTCAACAGGAAAGACTTCACACTGGATAAAAAAAATTTCAATGTTACTGTATGCATTTTAACTCTGCTATACTGATAATTCCTTAGCTTGCAAGAAACTTTTCAGACCTCTCTATCCACAGCTAGATTTTCAATTTGCTTTGTTTTGTGCACACACTTTGCTAATCCTTTATCCAAATCTTAATTCACTGCTGTCCCCAAAACAAGTGTCAAGAACAAAGCTCCTTTACACATTTTGGCCTCCTCCCTCCTAACAGAAATGCAGCTGCTCTGACTGCATGGTCATAAAATCCACACACATGTTGGACAGAGTTGTTGGCACTTCCCAGCTCTGTGATCTTAAGCACATTTACTAACATCTCTGAGACTCACATCTGCCCCGCAGTCATTGCAAAGATGACCTGCAAGCCTATATACAAACTAATTCTGTGCCTGATCCATAATTCAGTCTGTCCTCAAGAGAGCAGCCAGAGTGACCTTGTTAACTTCAGCAGGTCACACTCCCCCTCTCTTCAAAACCCATCTAGCCACCCCGTTTACAATTTAAACCAGCTCCCCTTCCCTGTTTCATTGTTCTCCTCAGGACTTTTGAAGAAAACACACCTAACATGGTACATAATTTATTGCTTTATCCCTTTTATTGTCTGCCTTCCCCTACCAGAACGTCAGCTCCATGAAGGCACAGAGTTTTGTCTGCTTTGTCAACTACTGTATAGAACAGGGCCCGGCACATAGTAGGTCCTCAGTAAAGATTTATTGAATGAATACACAAATTCCTGTTCAGTCAAAGGCAGCTGCCACCACCACCACCGTTTAATCTCACTGAACCTCAGCCTGTTCATCTGCAAAGGGGAACCAGTAATCATGCCTTCCCCAGGTCAGGGTTATTGCTGAGACCACACAAGGGACACAAGAGCACCACCATGCAAAGGCAAGGAGTGGCATCTTCCTTATCTTAGTTTTCCTGATCACATTTATATCTCCAACTTCTTGCAGGTCTTTAACCTGACAGATCTGTGTTCCTTCTAATCCTTGAGGGGTGGGTCTGTTTAATTTCAACCCTTTTTCTCTGCTTTAAATTTTCTCTGCTTTAGGATGTCTTCCCTAACACCAATTACACATTTTCTTACATCCCTTTATCATGTGGGGCTGACTGAAGATTTACCTAGTGGCTCGGATGCTTTAAAACATGGCTTCCTGATACCACACTAGTATTTTGTCCTTAAGGAATTAAAGCACTCTTTATGATTCCACATGTAATAAAATAAACAAATAAAAAACCCAAATTCTTTTTTCTTTTTTTAAATTTCTTTTTTTTTTTAAGATTTTATTTATTTATTTGAGAAACAGAGTGAGCAAGAGCACACAACCAGGGGCAGAGGGAGAGGAAGGAGAAGCAGACTCCCCAGTGAGTAGGGAGTCCAACGTAGGGCTTGACCCCAGGACCCTGGGATCATGACCTAAGTCGAAGGCAGATGCTTAACTGACTGAGCCACCCAGGCGCCCCACTTCACAAATTTCTTTTAAATGGAAACATCCTTACTTCTGAATCTGTATCTCAAAAAAAATGACAAAACTGGATAAAATTACTTTTCTCCTCAAATCACCCCTGGGGGCAGGCAGGCAACATTTTAAAAATGTTTTTTCTTTCTTGAGACCCCTCTAGCCTTTCTAGCAAGCTAAGTCCTCAGGGCTGCCTTGAATAGACTGATGTCTGACAGTCTGCTATGAACTTCACCCACTTCTGTGATCCCACATCTTAAATGCACCTCAGGGAAGGCCCCTGGGCTCTCAGGAGACTCATCACAGATCAGGGTAAAACAACACCACAGCAGGATCCTCTTTTTCATCATTTAAAGAAATATGCTGTTTGGTTCAGATTCTTCAGAAAACACATTATAATAGCACAAATGGGTAAAATGTTAACAACAGGTGGAGCAGATTTTTGCAAGCAAGGTTTCCATCATCCCTAGCCTTTTCCCACAGCCACACAAGGCTCATTCCTACAGGTCTGAACCCACCTCACATTAATGTCACACCACAGATACTTCAAACTCATCAAGACGTCAACAGTTACTGATTCAACACCCATCAGAGGGGTTTTCTTAAAAACCCAGACTGCTGGGCCCTACCCACAGAATTTCCACTCAGTAGGTCTGGGTGGGGCTGAGAATCTGCATTTCCACCTGGTTTCCAGTGATGCTTTGAGAACTACTGCATTAGGTAAGCCATTTGCATTTACCTAACAGCAGGTATTCATAGAGGTTACTGTGAAGGTGTGTCTCCTGGGGTCTGTTTAGCTGTCAAATAATAAAACCTTCCTTTTACAATTCTTTGATCAATCTTCACAAAATCCTGGAATGCATTAAGAAGCCCCACATCATCAACCAAACCTAGAAAAAGCGTCATATTCCTGGGTGAGACCTGGGTACTAGTGTTCCTCCCAAAATCCTAGTTTGGACCAAGCGATCACCTGGAATCAGGTCACTGCTTTGCAGGTGGTATCAGCAGGAAGAAAGACTCCCCACAGTAGCCACCTTTTGGTCAAGCACCAGACACCACGCCATTTTGGACGGCATAATTTGGATTCTTAACCAACAGATGTTCATTAGCTATTCCTTTTAGTAAGTATTGTGGATACATATTTGTAAATATTGTGGATACATAATTATGTTCACATTTAAATACATTTCTATGACATATTATTTAAAATTTTTTTTAAAATTTCAGGTAGTTCATTAAAATGATTCTAAAATTTATATGGAGAGGGAAAAGACCTAGAATAGCCAACACAATATTTAAGGAGAACAAAGCTGGAGGACTGACACTACCCAACTTCAAGACTTACTAGAAAGCTACAGTAATCAAGACAGTGTAGAATTGGCCAAAGCATAAAAATATAGATTCATGGAACAGAGAGCCCAGAAATAAGCCCACATAAATAAAGTCAAGTTATCTTTGACAAAGAAGCAAAGGCAACACAATGGAGCAAAGACAGTCTCTTCAGGGGCACCTGGGTGGCTCAGATGGTTAGGCTTCTGCCTTCGGCTCAGGTCATGATCCCAGGGTCTTGGGATCGGGCCCCACATCGGGCTCCCTGCTCGGTGGGGAGTCTCCTTCTCCCCCTCCCTCTGCTTCTCCCCCTGCTCATGCTCTCTCTCTATCTCTCTCTCTGTATCTCTGTGTCTCGAATGAATAAAAAATAAATAAATAAATAAATCCTTTAAAAAAAAGGCAGTCTCTTCAACAAATGGTGTTGGAACAACTGGATGTCCACACGCAAAAAAAAAAAAAAAAAAAAAAAAAACTAGACACAGACCTTACACTCTTCACAAAAATTAACTTAAATGGAATGGCAGACCTAACCATAAAATGCAAAACTGCAAATCTCCTAGAAGATAACCCAGGAGAAAACCTAGATGACCTGGGTGTAGTGATGCCTATTTAGATATAACACCAAAGACACGACCTGTGAAGAAAGTAATAAGCTGAACTTGATTAGAAAATTCTGCTCTGCAAAAGACAAAGTCAAGAGAATGAGAAGACAAGCCAGAGACTGGGAGAAAATATTTGCAAAAGACACATCTGATAATGACTTGTTATCCAAAATATACAAAAAACTCTTAAAAGTCAACAATAAGAGAACAAACAACCTGATTACAAAAATGGGCCAAAGACCTTAACAGACACCTCACCAAAGAAGATATACAGATGGAAAATAAGCATATGAAAAGATGGTTCACATACTATGTCATCAGAATGCAAATGAAAACATTGAGATACCACTTTACATGTATTGGAATAGCAAAAACGTGGAGCAATGACAATGCCAAATGCTGATGAGGATGTGGAGCAACAGGAATTCTCATACATTGCCGGTGGGAATGTAGAATGGTACAGTCACTTTGGAAGGCAGTTTGGTGGGTTCTTATAAAACTAAACATACTATACAATCCAGCAATTGCACTCGTATTTTTCCAAAGGAGTTGAAAACTATGTCCACACAAAAACTTGCACATAGAGTTCACAGCAGCTTTATTCATAAAACTTGAAGCAACTACGATTATCTTCAATGGGTGAATGGATAAACTGTGGTACATCCAAATAATAGAGTATTATTCAGCACTAAAAAAAAACGAACTATCAAGCCATGAAAAGACATAAAGAAATCTTAAAAGCCTATCACTAAGTAAAATAAGCCAATCTGAAAAGGCTACATGATGTATGACTTAACTGTAAGATATCCCAGAAGAGGCAAAACTACAGAGGCAATAAAAAGATCAGTGGTTACTGGGGCTGGGGGAAGGAGGGAGGGATTAATAGGCAGAGCACAGATCTTCAGGGCAGTGAAAATGCTCTGTGTATTATAATGATGGATAAAGTCATTATATATTTGTCCAAATCTATAGAATGTCCAAATCCATAGAACACTAAGAGTAAACAGTCTGGCTGATTATGAGGTGTCAATGTAGGTTCATCATTGGTAACAAATGAACCATTCTGGTGACTGATGCTGATAACTGGGGATGCCATGCATGTGTGTGGGCAGGGGATATATGGGAAATCTCTGTCCCTTCCTCTCCAGTTTGCTGTAAACTTAAAACTTCTCGAAAAAAATAAAGGCCTTTAAAAAATGGACCCAGAAGCATAAAATAAAGAAAAACATAAATTGGATTCCATCAGAATTTAAAAATGACCCAAGTGTATGCTGTCTACAAAACCACACTTTAGATTCAATGACACAGGCTGAAAGAAAAAAAGATGTAAAAATACATACCATGTAAGCAGTAACCTAAATAGAGCCGAGATGGCTATATACCGCATAGAATACAGTGAGAAAAAAATTGTTACTAGAGACAAAATAAGGACCTTTTACAACGGTAAGAAATCAATTTATCAGTAGGATATAATGACTAAATATCCATGTACCTAAGAACAGAACCCCAGGGCACCTGGGTGGCTCAGTTTGTTAAGCATCTGCCTTTGGCTTGGGTCATGATCCCGGGGTCCTGGGATTGAGCCCCATGTTGGGCTCCCTGCTCAACAGGGAGTCTGTTTCTCCCTCTCCCTCTGCCCCTCCCCCCGTTCGTGCTCTCTCTCTCTCAAATAAATAAAATCTTAAAAGAAAAAGAACAGAACTCCAAAATACACAAAGTGAAACTGAAAACCTGAAGAGAGAAATACACAATTCAACAAAAATAGTTGGACACTTAAACATTCCACTTTCAATAATGGATAGAAAATGAGGCAGAAATCAGCAAAGAAACAGAAGACTTAAAGAATACTATAAACTACCTAGTTGTAGCAGACATCTACAAAACACTTCAGGTCAAACAAGAGCAGAAGACACATTCTTCTCAAGAGCACATAGAACAGTCTTCATAGTAGACCATATGCTAGGTCATAAAACAAACCTTGATAAATTAAAAAGAATTAAAACATACAAAGTACCTTCTTTGATCACAATGAAATTAAATTAGAAGTCAACAACAGAAGAATGTGGGAAAGTCACAGTTATATAAAAGTTAAACATATGCTTAAACAACCAATGTGTCAAAGAAGAAAATACAATGAAAATATAAAATACTTTGAGATGAATGAAAACAAACATAAAAAATACCAAAACTTATGGGGTACAGCTCTAGCAGTCCTTAAAAGGGAAATTTATAGCTATGAGTGCATGTATTAAAAAAGGAGAAAAGGGGCGCCTGAGTGGCTCAGTTGGCTAAGCATCTGACTCTTGATTTTGACTCAGGTCATGACCGCAGGGTCCTGGGACCGAGCCCCGCGTCAGGCTCCCTGCTCGGCGGGGAGCCTGCTTCTCCCTCTGCCCCTCCCCCTCTGCAACTCTCTCTGTCTCAAATAAATAAGTAAAATCTTTAAAAAAAAGAAATAAAAAGGATTATAAGAAAATACTAAGAAAAAAGGTATGCCAAAAAATAAGATGAAATAAATTACTAGGAAGACAGAAACTACCAAGAATACCTTCATGAAGAAATAGAAAAATCTGAACAGATCTACAAGTAAAGAAACTAAATTATTTCAAAAACTTCACACAAAGAAAAGCCAAGCCCAGATAGTTTCACTGGTGAGTTCTACCAAACATCTGAAGAAGAATTAACACCAATCCTTTTCAAATTCTTTCAAAAAACAGAAGAGGAGAGAACATGTCATAATTTATTTTGTGAGTACAGTATTACACTGATACTAAAATGAGAAAGATATCACAGGAAAAGAAACTATTGACCAACATCTCTTTTAAATATGGAGGCAAAATCCTCAGTGTTAGCAAACTGAATCCAGCAACATATAGAAAAGTATATACACCATGAGCAAGTGGAATTTATCTCAGGAATGCAAGGTTGGTTTAACATTCAAAAATCAAAGTAATATATCAATATTAAGATCAATGTAATATATCAATAATAAAAGACAAAAACCACGTATTTATCTCAACAGACATAGAAAAATCATTTGAGAAAATCCAACATCCTCTCAAGGGAAAAATACTCAATAAACTAGCAGTAGGGAGGAAATATCCTCAACCTGATAAAGGGCATCTATGAAAAATCCACAACTAACATCATGATTTACAGAAAGATGGAGGGCTTTCTCCTAAAATCATGAATAAGACAAGGATAAGCAAGTTCAGCAAGTTGGCAAGATACAAGATTGATACATAAATCCAATTTTATTTCTATAAGCTTGAATTACAGTTTTATTTCTATAAACTGTTTAAAAATGCTCTTTTTCAAGTTGAGTCAGTTCCCTCCACTCCTAATTTTCTGAGAGTTTTTAATAATGCGTCACCATTTATGTCAAATGCTTTTTCTGCATCAACTGATACACATACATGATGCAGAAAGGTTGTCTCTTCAACCTGTTGATGCAGTGGATACCCTGAATGACTTTTGAATATTGAACCAATCTTGCACCTTCTCTCAGCACTGCTTTAGAGGGCCCACAAATTTTTGATATGTTGAGATTTCATTCAACTCAACGTATTTCCCCCCAAGACAAGCACATCCACTCTTGTCACTTTTATTTAACACAGTATGGAGGCCAGAGCAATAATGCAAGAAAAAGAAGGGAAAGACTTTCATACTGGAAAGGAAAAAGTAAAATTATGTTTATTCAAGGATGACATATTATCTATATAGAACATCTGATTCAATCCACAAAAAAACTTATTAGAAACAGTAAGACAATTTAGCAAGGCTATGGTATACATATCAATATATAAAAATTAATCACATTCTTATATAATGAGGATAAATAACAAAATTAAAATTAAAAACACATTTCCAATAGCATGGAAAAATAGGAAATATTTAGGGATATATCTGATAAAAGAGATAAAAAGGTTGTATACCAAAAACTATAAAACACTACTGAGAAAAATTAAAGAGGACCTAAAAAGGGGGGGGGGGCAAGATCTACCGCATTCATAGTTCAGAAGACTAGTTAAGATACCAATTCTCCCCCTAATGACCAACAGAGCCATCACAATCTCAACCAAAATCCCATAAGGTTTTTTGTAGAAATTGAAAGCCAATTATGAAACATATGGAAATGCAAAGGCTCCCCTGTAGCCAAAACACAATTGAAAAAGAAGAAAGAGTTGTCTATCTAACACTACTTAATTTCGAAGAGCAGTAATAAAAACAGTGAAGTAGGAGCTTAAAGCCAGATAAATGGAGCAATGGCACACAAAAAAAGGTCTGAAAATATACCCACACCCGCAGGACGACTGATTTTTGACAAAGTTGCAAAAGCAAGATAAGATGAAATAAATTACTAAAAAAAATAAGGCAGACAGAAAAGAGTACATACGGGTAACTCCATTTATATGAAGTTAAATCAAATGGCCCTTCAACATCTTTTCTTTGCTCCATCTCTGAGCTAACTGGAACTAATTCCAAAGACACTAATCATCAGCTGCCATCCTCCTTATGGGCAACATTTCCAACAGATACCAGCAGTGTCCACGGAGCACCTCCCTTCAAGATTCAAACAGATCCTTCCAAATCTCTCCCCAGAACTAATGCCGCATAAATAAAGCAGCCCTTCAAGTTATCAAGCCCATAATAGAAGATTACAAGGTTCAGGGCCTCATTATCTCCTGCACTAGTCCCTGTAATATCTCTAGTTTACCTGTGAGAACACTCAGTGGCTGAGGATGAAGGGTTGTCCAGGATCCCGAGCAATAAATACCACTGCTATCCCTCAGCACCCCGCTGTTCTAACCCCATACATACTGACACCCAACCCCACTGAAACCAAATTCTTCACTGTAACTGACCTATGCAGTGCATTTTCAGTATTCTAGTAGATAAGGATAGCCAAAATCTTTTTGCTTTCCCTTGGGAAGAATTAAAATCCATCTGGACAGTCATGCCCCAGGATTTCTCAGAGTCCTTCTTACTTCTCACAAACCTTAAAAGAGGATTCAGACAACAGAAGGTTTTCTGCAGGCTCTACTTTGTTCCAATATGTGGATCATCTGCTCTTCTGCTCCTCTTCTCAGACCTCTTCACAGGAAGGCAATGTTCATCTGTTAAAACTTTTGCCCTTAAAGGGACATAAAATCTCCAAAGAAAAACTGCAGGTTGTTCAAACTCAGGTTCCATACTTAGGGCCCCTGATCTCGGAACCAGGACTAGATTTGGATCCAGGGAGACTTCAAGGCATCCCGAACATCCCTAAACCTAAAACTAAGCACCAATGACGAGGTTTTCTTGGACTAGCTGACTACTGTTGAAATTGGGTCCCAAACTCTCTCTTACGGCTCAACCTCTATATGCTTTACTGAAAATCAACAAACCTGACCCTATTATTTGGAAAGATCAGGATGACAGAGCTTTTGGGACTTTAAGGAAAAGCCTAATAAGGCCCCTGCCTTTGGACATCTTAACTATCAACTTCCCTTTCTCCTCTTTGTCTGTGAGAGGGAAGGGAATGCCCTTGGAGCGCTCACCCCACCGGGGACCATCATCAGCCAGTAGGGCATTAGAGCCAACAACCAGACCCTGAATATGGCTCAGGTATATCCCCCTTGCCTCACAGCCATTCCTGCCCCTGCCCTCTTAGTTAAGGCCCCTGCAGAAACAGTCACGGGCTCCCCTCTAACCATCCTTGTATTTTGGCCAAAGGGAAAACCGCAGACATTTATACAGATGGCTGGTACATCTTCCAGTAGCTCATGACTTTGGAATATTACGGAAACAGCGAGGTTTACCTCTGATGAAGATAAAATGAAAAATGGCTCCTGTGTTCAAAATTTATTACATGTCACACTGTTGTGGCTGCTCAGGCCATTACCAAGTTTCCTGGGTATTCCAGATGCGACTCCCTGGAGGCCAAAGGAAATCACCTCACTGACATTTCTGCCCCAAATGCTGCTCTCAAGGAGGCCAATAGCCAGACCTCTGTCAGGTCCAAAGGGATGTTCTCCCAAATGATATTTGGAAAAATTGACCAGAGACCCCAAAAATTGGCCCCTGAAAAGGAAAAACAGTATTGGAAATCTAATAATTGTTGGTTTGATAAAAAGAGAGAACTCTGGTTTGGACCAAATAACAATCTGCCCACAGAAGTTCCAGAATTCCCAGTACTTACCACTGTACTTGCTTTAAACCATTGGTCTCTTGACAGAGTGACAGCATTCACGAACCAATATTGGTGGGGGAAAGGTAACAGGGCCACAGAAAGTGCTTACCTTGCTTGTCCCACCTGTTCAAAGCATAGTCCGGGGAAAACTGCATGGCTCCCAGACTCTGGACTGCCTGCAGGGCCACTCCAGTTTGGCAAATGGATCTCCTGCAGCTTCCCTATCTCGGGGATAGAAACACATTTTAGTCGCGGTCTGTATGTTTGTCATTGGACCGAAGCTTTCCCTTGTAGACAGGCCACTGCTTCTTCTGTGGCTAAAATTCTGTGAGAAAGAGAATCCCTACCTGGGGACCCCTCTCCAACTTCACAGCGATCGGGGAACCCGTTTCACCGGTCAGGTGCTTCAACAAATCTGCAGTGTTGGGCGGGTGTTAACAACACTTGCATGGTGCACACCATCCTCAGTCCTCAGTTAGTCACGCTCACTGACGGCATCACGAAGTCTCAATTGGCAACATTTGTAGAGACCATAATATAATTTGGAATTGTCGTATTACTTTTTCTGTTGTGTATAATTATCTTTAAGTTTTGCGTTTTTGTTTTTTTTTTTTTTTAAGTAGGCTCCATGCACAACATGGGGCTTGAACTCACAAACCTGAGATCAGGTCCTGAGACGAATTCACAAACCTGGTATCAGGTCCTGAGATCACAAGTTGGGCGTTCCACCAACTGAGCCATCCAGGCGCCCCAAGTTTTGCATTTTATTGCCTGTCGAACTTTTGCAAAAACGATGTGCCCAATGATTCTAGCTCATGCTTCAAGATGATTTCCCATACTTACAACCTTGAGAAGACAGAGACTTTAGATGGAAAGTACCTGAGAGTTTCTCCCTCCTCACCTTCCTTGTTACTCAACTGTGGCCTTAAGTGCTTTCCAACTGCTAGGCACCTTCCCTCTGACTTGGGACAGGACAACCCGGAGAAGTCCTTCCTTGGCACCGAGGGACAAAACCACTAAATACAGAAAACCTGACCCGGGACCAGCGACGCCTTTGGGGAAAGATCTTGATTGATTAAAAGGGGGAAATAAGGGGCACCTGGGTGGCTCAGTTGGTTAAGTGTCTGCCTTTGGCTCAGGTTGAATCCAGCAAGTTGACTATATAAAAAGGGCAATACATCATGATCACATGGGGTTCATTCCAACAATGCGAGACTGATTCAACATCTGTAAATCAATCAGTATAATTTATCATATTAATGGACTAAATGAGAAAAAGGATTGGGGTGCCTGGGTGGCTCAATCAGTTAAGTGTCTGTCTTCAGCTCAGGTCATGATCCTGGGGACCTGGGATAGAGCCCTGCACTGGGCTCCCTGCTCAGTGGGGAGCCTGCCTCCCCCCCTCTCTGCTGCTCCCCCTGCTTGTGCTCTCTCTCGCTCTCTCTCCTGCTCTCTGTCAAATAAATAAACAAAATCTTTAAAAATAATAATAATAAAAAATTAAAAAATAGGATTATATTAATATATGCAGCAGAAAGTTCAACATCAATTCATGAAAAAAAAACTCTCAAAAAACTTAGAAGGGAACTTCCTTAACCTATTAAGACTTTCCAAAAATCACAGCTAACATCATACTAAATAGTGAGGTGTTAAGTTTTCTCCCTAAGATCAGGCATGAGGCAAGGATGTCCTCTCTCAACACTTCTAATTCAACTTATACTAGAAGTCCTAGCTAGTATAATCAGACAAGGAAAATAAATAAAAGGTGCACAATTGGATAAAAAGAAATAAAACTGTCTTTATTCACAAACAACTGTCTATGCAGAAAACCCCAAAGATCTATCAAATAATTCCTGTACATAATAAGTGAATATAGCAAAGTTGAAAGGTACATAATCAAGATATAAAAGTCAACTGTTTTCTTTTATACCAGCAATGAATACTTGGAATATGAATTTTAAAAAACAACACATGTATAATAGCATCCCCCAAAATGAAGTTCTTAGGTATAGAGGTAACAAAATATGTACAGGATCGGTGTTCTTGAATTGGAAGACTCCATATAGTAAAGATGTCAATTCTCCCTTAGCTTACTGCAATTCCTATTGAAATCTCAGCCAGCTTTTTGGAAACATACTTAAGCTTATTCTAACATTTATATGAACAAGTAAAGGTATTGGAACAGCCAATTCAATTCTAGAATAGGAGGCCTAAGTTGGAGGATTCATACTACCTGATTTCAAGACTTACTATAAAGCTACAGTAATGACCAGAGAGGGGCAAAAGGACATCCATCAATGGTACATAACAGAGCTTGGAAACAGACCCACAAAACCACAATTTTTGACAAAGGTACAAAGACAACTCAGTAGAGAAAGAACAACCTTTCAAGTGGTGCCAGACATTGGAAGTACATATGCAAGAAACTGAACCTCGCACAAATAGTAACTCAAAATGGGTCACTGACCTACATGTAAAATGCAGACACTATGAAATTTCTAGAAGAAAACACCGGGGGAAATCTGCATGGTCTTGGGTTTGGTGATGAGTTTTAAGTACAAAGCAAAAGCAAATTTATGAAAGAAGAAACTTAAGTTGGATTTAATTAAAATGAAAACCTTGAACTCTGTGAAAGCCACTGTGAAGAGGATGAGCAGACAGACTGGGAGAAAATATCTGCAAACCCCACGTCTGATAAAGGACACGCACCGAGCATATGCCAAGAACTTTTTTTTTTTTAAAGATTTTATTTATTTATTTGACACAGAGAGAGAGAGCACAAGTAGGCAGAGAGGCAGGCAGAGGGAGAGGGAGAAGCAGAGTCTCCACTGAGCAGGGAGCCCGACGCGGGGTTCGATCCCAGGACCCCGGGATCATGACCTGAGCCGAAGGCAGACGCTTAACCGACTGAGCCACCCAGGCGCCCCTATGCCAAGAACTTTTAAGGCTGAATAATAAGAAGACAACTCAATTTTTTTAAATTGGCGAAATGAGAGAGAGAGGGGGTGAGGGGAGAGGGCAGGAGTGGGAGGGAGAGCATGGTGGCAGGAAGACAGGTTCCAGGACAGAAAATGATTTAATGTTCGCAGGAGGACTGACTACTACTCTTTCCTGCTCATACATTGATTGGGTAATTAGAGATATTATAGATATCTACATATTGTATTTTTATTTAAGAAAAAAAAAATGAAAAGGCCAACAGTGTGTATAAATTGTGGTTGCTGTAGTATTTTTCTTGTAGAAAAGAAATTGGTATTAATTTGAATACTTTTGAGTAAGAAATGGTTGAGCCAATTCTAGCATATATATCTCATGGAATGCAAATCAGTTATGTTTCCACCAAGTTAGGTTTACATGTACTGAGCTGGAAAATTGACTATAATACAGTGATAAGTTAAAAAATAAAAGCAAGTTGCAGAGTGATAATTTTAGTCTAGTTACATTTATCTGTAAGAATTTTCAGAATGATAGAAAAATGCATTTATGCATTAGAAGCATAGAAGGAAACTGGCAGCACATGGGTCAATCTGTAACATCAGTTTTAAAAGATTTACGTTTGGAGCAAAAAAGGGAGTGTCTGTCTTATTTTATTCCCTTTATACACTTCCGTATTGTTTGAGCTTTACTTTGAAATTAAAAATAAAACCTTGTTATTATATTTTTTAGTTTCTACTGAAACAAAAAAAAAATGGGCAAAAGATCTGAACAGATACCTCACTACAGACCTACAGATGAAAATAAGCATATGAAACGATGCTCAGTATAGGGACGCTAGTTAAAACCACAATGATAGGGGCACCTGGGTGGCTCAGTCGGTTAGGCGGCTGCCTTCGGCTCAGGTCATGATCCCAGGGTCCTGGGATCGAGCCCCATGTCGGGCTCCCTGCTCGATGGAGAGTCTGCTTCTCCCT